TGCACAAAAGTAAAAAAGAACAACTAATATTAACATTAAAATGATAAACATGCGCAAGCTAGGCAGAGGTTGTGGAGTTTAGGAGATGTTACAGAACCATTTCATGTAAATTTCTTCGATGTACTAAAAAAAATCTATATAGATTACTTTTATGCGGGCTTTTGCGGACGAGAGCGGGACAAAACATGAATGTCGCTGGTGGGAGCGGGACCAGATAAGATATTTTTCTGCGGGAGCGGGCAGGCGCAGGACTGAAAAATCCGTCCCTCTCTCTCTCTCATTCAGCTCAGCTCCAACAATGAATTGTTCCAATTATACACTTATTTTCACATAGCTATGAGAAGCGTTAAACATGGACGCACGTGCAGTTGCTGTACTGTATTAAAGCTTTAATCAGGATAAAACCGTATATTAAAATCTAACATAAGCAGTAGCATTTGCAAATAACAGCATATGTAAAAGTATGAGACAACAACAAACAAAAAACATATTAAAAGCGGTGCTTGCACAGTTTCTGCACGATCCTCTTCAATAATATCCTCTGCTTCTCAATCGGGCTCAAACTGATAAGCAATATTAACGACCCGTGGGACCCAACACAACGGGGTGCGGCGCGGGACAAACTCTTGATGTGCGAGTGTGGGTGCGGGCGGGAAGAGACTCGTGTGTGTGTGCGGGGTGTGGGAGAATAAAATAATTTGCGGGACTCCCGCAAAATAGAAATGATCTAAACATAAAATGTCTAAAACATATAAATGATTTATCTGTTGCACAAAAGTAAAAACAACTAATATTAACATTAAAATGATAAACATGAGCAAGCTAAGCACCGCTTCTATTTATAACACGTGTTTAAAGGGTTGCGCAATGTAGCCAATCACAGACATGGCTGTTGATTTCTGGAACGCAGTGGCCAATCAGAGGTGATTAAGTTAGAATCCACTCAGCAGTGCTGAAATTGCGTGCTCACGAATCGTCTCATTTTAACCTATGATTTCAACACATGAAGTGTAGACATTGTGAAAGATTCATTGTGTTATAACAGAGCTTTATGAGATCGC